TCTTTGGAGCATCCATATCTATAAAGGCTATATAAAGGTGAAAACAATCAATGCAACCCTTCCATTAGGACTTTGACAAACTTTTAAAAAGTTGAAAACCTGATACAACCAAGCTTTTAAATGACTGTTGAAGGTCTAGCATGCACTGGTGAGTAAAAGGAACAGTACTGCCAACACAAAGCGTTCAAAATTCTTGAGTCAGATCCACCCAAAACAATGAAATGGGATTAGAAATCATGATTTTTTAAAAGCATCGTGTATTTTGGGAATGCATTTGGTTTGGTTTCTGGATTTGGAAGCTTTAAGTTTGCTCTGGTCATGTTTTCATGCTTTTTCCCATAAGCATGAGTTCTAGAAATGTATTTTTTAATGAAATCTGTGTTTTTTACATAATCACTTGAGCCTTAATAAGAACACCAAATATCACAAGACTCAAGATAAAACTGTGAGTGTTATGGCTTTTGTACATCGCAATATACAGAGGGGCAAGCCTGCATATAAATCTACAGCTTTGCAGTAATATCCTGTGTGGACACTGCAGTGCAAGTTCGGAGTGTGGCTTGTCATGCTACACTTTTGAGTAGTATGCCAGGTTGTGCTCCAGGGCTTTAAGTGCACTGCAATAGTATGGATATGGGACATTTTCTGCATAGCAAGATGCTGCTGATTCACACCATGACTTGTCATACAGTAATTTGCTATTTAGACAAACCCTTAGATATTCTGAAGGAACCACTGTAGCTCACAGGCTAGCTTAAAGGTATTTTATATAGCAGTAATGCAAGAAAACTATACCCCTACATGCTGTCATATATTTAGCTTAAGTAACTAGCTGAAGGCTTTGAGACCTATGAGACTAAGCATAAGTGAGTTACCCAACAGTGATTTTGAGTTACTGGAGAACAGGGAATACTGTGTTTAGGAGATTTTTTTTTTTGGGGGGGGGCAGGTAACTGCAGGAATAAGAACTAATATCAGCTTTGAATATATTACAATAGGAATATCTGCAAAATTACAAACACAAACTTGCTTTGCAATTAACTGACATATATGATAAGTTGAGATCATTAATATACTATTCTATATGATAAGGACACCTCAACATTATTATAGTGAAGAAGTCAGTTATGGACAAAGAAGGCCGGGCATCTACATGAATATTTATAGCAGTCACCAGGATTTATAATGGGCCCAATCATCATGTAGACCTTGAGATCTTGATCATCAGACTTGTATGGCATGCCAGTGGCAAGATAGGATATTCACGGATGACTGCTTGTTTCTTATGACTAAGTTTCCACAAGAAGAGGTAAGTATGCATAATGTATGGTGCAGGATGCCATCTTAATTTTACATTACAGCTACATTCTCATTTGGCTTGGAACGTTTGTATTTTAATTAATTATACACAATATTGCTTTGCTCTCAGTGTGATTGTTGTTAATTAGTGTTAACACTGAAGTTCCCAGCCAGACACTAAACTTAATTTTGTTATGTCTGATGACATCATAAAGGGACTAGAACCTTTCAAAACTAGAGAATTAACCAGTAACAAAATGGAAATCCTTAACAATCAATATAAGCAATAACCCATAATCAATAACCACTCAGTGAATCATGTAAAAGCACCAATGTACAAACTATCATTGGACCAAACAACCAAAAAATATCTTTGCATATAATATAAAATACATATAGATTTGTGCTAGATGCTATTACATTTGAAACTTAAATCATCACACAAATTAAACAGCACATCTGCAACATCTAGTATTTTCCTACAGAGACAGACTTAAGATACCTGTGACTATCTGTTTTCAAGGTAGACTATGAAAGTAGAGTAGCTATATTATGATCACAAAATACCAGCATAATATATAAACAATTGCAAAATGTTATCTTAGCTTCATTTTTTTAAAAAATTCTGCTTATTCAAGCAACACTTCAAAATTGAGCCAAGAAAGTTATTCTATTAGCCACAATGCCCTTGTTCAGAAAGTCCAAGAAATGAAGCAGATTTATTGGAGCATAAGTATCTGACGAAGTGGGTCTTTGCCCAAGAAAGCTTATGCTCCAATAAATCTGTTAGTCTATAAGGTGCCACAGGATTCCTTATCGCTTTTGCAGATTCAGACTAACACGGCTACCCTTCTGATAATAAGAAATGGAGATATCTCATACAAGTCAAGGGGACTTTTAAAGCTCGAGTTAAGCAACCTGAAGGTCTGAAGTGTTAGAATTTTTAATTGGAGAGAATTCCTCCACTGGGATAGGATCTTCAAATGCTTTCAAAGCATCTAATTCCTTCTTGGAGCCTTATTTCTATCATGAACACTGGACTGGCATAGAATTAATGACTGGAATTTGAAACCTTACACTGGTTGGCTGGCTTGTTGAACTCAACTGAACTAATTAACATGCCAATCAATAATCAAGAACATTTTGTGACTGGTCCCAAAGGAAAACAGTGGAAGCTACTGTGATTTTTTAAGTCCCAATCTGTTTGTGTTGTACACTAATTCCTTCAAAGACGCAAAAATTTCTGTTTAAAAAATACCTATTCAGGCAAGGAAGCTTTCACATACCTCAAACCAGGAGAAAAAACAATTGAAGATTAAAATAATCCCCTTTTGTATACACATAAACTTGATTCCCATGAAGCAGCAGAGGGAGAATGTCAATGATAGGGCTTGTGGGATTTGGAAGGATAAGGAATCTACAATAGTGCAGTTACTAATCGAGAGGAAATTTGATCTTGATCAAATCTGATCTCTTGGCTCTTGCATATGTTTTCTTCTAGAGCCCAAAGTTTCTCAAGGTTGATGTGTCTAGACCAAGTAATTTTACAGCAAAGCATTTGGGAGTATGAAAAAGTAGCAACAACTTAAAACTGGAAAACGTGTATTTTTTGTCATAAACATAGTTAAAAATAGCCATGCCTGAATAACAGAATCTCAGAACTACAGGGCTGGAGGGGTCCTCAAAAGGTCATCTAATCCATGCCCCCATGATGACACAGGATCAAATAAACCTAGAACATCACTGACTGGCATTTATCTAACATGTTCTCTAAAAACTCCAATGTTAGCAATTCCACAACCTTCCTTGATAACCCATTCCAGTTCCTAAATTAGAAAGTTTTCCCAAATATCTAACCTATATTTCCCTTGCTGCAGATTAAGCTCATTCTTTTGCCCTATTGTGTGTGGACATGGAGAAAAATTGATTACTGTTCTCTTTATAAAAGCACTTAACATATTTGAAGACTTCCCACCTCAGTCTTCTCTTCTCTAGGCTAAAAATGTCCAGTGTTTTAATCTTTTCCTTGTGGGTCAGATTTTCTAATCCTTTTACAATTTTCTTTCTCCCCTTTGGACACACTCTAGTTTGTCCACATTTTTGTTAAGGTGAAGACACAAAACTGGATGCAATATTCTATCTGAGGCCTCTCCAGTGCCAATATAATTATATCCTGCATCTTATATACAACACTTTTGTTAATGCACCACAGATGGATTTTGGCTTTTTTTTTTTAAAACAACTTCAGCATATTATTTGTTCATGTTCAATTTGTGATCCTGTGTAGCCCCCAGATCCTTTCTCAGTACTACTGCTTAGCCAGTTATTTCCCATTTTGTATTTTGCACATTTGATATTTTTTATTCCTATCTGAAGTATTTTTCACTTGAACTTCGTATTGTTAACTTCAGACCAATTCTCCAATATGTCAAGTTCATTCTTAATTCTAATCCTCATTTTCAAAGTTCTTGCAACCTCTCCCAGTTTGGTGTGTCACACAAATTACATAAGCATAATCGCCACCTCATTATCAAAGTCATTAGTGAAAATACTGAATAATGATATACTCCAGACAGACCCCAACAGGATTTCACTAGACACATCATCCCAGTTTGATAGCAAACAATTGATAAATTGTCTCTGAGTATTATTCAAATGATGTACATTTACTTCACATTAATTTCACATTGTCTGTACTTCCCTAGTTTTCTTATGAGAAGATAATTAATAATCATGGAATCATAGAAATGTAAGAATGCAATGAACCTTAGTAAGTCATCTAGTTCAATCCCCTGCAATGAGGCAGGATCTAAAAGGTCCACAAATACAGATCTGGAGAGTGTTTCTAGGACTTACATGGGAAACAGTTTCTGGGTCATTCACAACACAGATAGTAATGTATTTAGCATATAGCTTGGTTCTAGGAAGATGCAGAACATAGTTCTTCTAAGGATGTTAAATATCGGGTAATTGACTAATCGAATAGTCGATACATTTTTGCAATTCTAGTTGATACATTTTTGCAATACTATTCAATTAGTCGATAGGGCACCTCCACCTTTGAAGTGTAGCAACAGCCCTATGGTTGTTGCTACACTTCAAAGAGAAAAGAGCTGCATGGAGCTTGGTGTCAGCTGGGGACTCCCCTGCTGACCCCAGGTTCCGTGTGGTGCTACGACTTTGAAATGCTGCAAGGAGCCTGATGCTGGGCTCCCTGCAGCGTTTCAAAGCAGTAGTGCTGCACAGAGCTCGGGGTCAGTCCCCACCTGATCCTGGGCTCCGTGTGGCACTACTGCTTTTAAACGCTGTGTGCAGCCTGGCCCCAGGCTTTAAGCAGCCCTGCCGCTTTGAAGTACCCTCTTTTCTCTCTCTCCCACCCCCAATGCCTCTGTCTGATAGAGGCAGCAAGGGGCGGGGGGGGGGGGGGAGGGAAGCAACTAGTCAACTATCCAATAAGCATTTCCTTATCAGATAGTCAACTAGTCCTTCACATCCCTAAGTTCTACCAATGTAAATTAAAAAAAAAGAAAAAAAAGACTATAATCTGGAAGTACTGAACTTTGAAGGTCTGACATGATGGAAAAATATATTTCCATGTAAATTTGCCTTTACATATGGAGCTGATACTACCGTGTGCCTGGTTCAAGCCATTTATCCACATATTAAAGACTCTAAGCTGAGAAATATTTTTAATGATTTACCTGTGTGCCTTGATTATTAATATCCACAAAATCACTCCATTCATGTGTTAGTTCATCTGATGACATCACTTTCAGAAGAATGCTGGGCAATAAGTCTTTGGTTTTGCAATCTGGGTAACTGGAGACTTGATGATAAAGCTCATGATGAACAGAACATTCAGCCGGAATTTTCTTGCAATAAACTTCAAATTTTGGTGTATCTGAAATTTCACAAATTGTCTAGATTAAGTTCTTATGGTTCAGCAAATTCTCTGGTTTGGCACTGTTCAGCTTCCAAAGGTGCCAGACTAGACAGGTTCTGTCGGTACAAAAAATGTTTTCCTTTGTCTTTTATGTTTGGTATTTGTTTTTTAAAACTTTTTTTCTCAGTAGCTTTTATTATTGTTCAGTACAGTAATTTGCTATATCTAGAGCTAACTGAAAATTATTCAACAAATAATTTTTGACAGAAATTGTCAGCTGGTCAGAATTCATATGTTCTGTGGGGACATGTTAATTTCAATACATTTCATGAAACCTGCTTAGTTTCCAGCCAGCTTGCCCATATAGCTCCTTAAGAGGACTATTGGGGAGTCTGGGATTCCATACTCCTGGCTCCTCTGAAGCTAGAAGTCCTGGTTACCAGGCTTGCAGCTCTTTCTCAGCCCAAGAGTCCAATCCTTGTAGGATTCCCAGCTCCAAGGAAGCTCACCAGATGGACTTCCCCAAAGAGGGGACTCCCTGTAAAGATAGGAACAGGACAGAAATTCCATTTTGTGGAGAATTTCAAGTTTTAGGTGGCTGTTTTGAATCAAAATGAATCAAAATGAAAAGAATGGTTACTTACCTGCAACTGTTTTTCTTCGAGATGTGCAGCTCATATCCATTCAAATAAGGTGTGCACGCCGCGTGCACCATCTTTTCAGAACGTTTTCCGAAGCGATACCCGTAGCACCGGCAGGTCGCCCCCTGGAGTGGCGCTGCTATAGCGGTGCATAAGGACCTCTGCCGGCGCTGCCCCTCCTCAGTTCCTTCTTGTCAGACACTCTGACGAAGGGGAGGTGCTGACAGGGCATCAGTGACGACTTTTCCTTGTTCAGCATGAGGCCTAGCCTCATTAAGAGAGTCCTTGTAAGGGATACATGGGCCTCCACTTGTTCACAGGATCGGCCACAAATGGGCCAGTCGTCTAGGTATGGAAAGACGTGCACCCCCTTTTTGCAGAGGAACGCCGCCATAAGCGACTTGCATTTTGTGAAGACCTTGGTTGCTGTTGGAAGTCCAAACGGAAGGACCGTGAATTGGAAATGACAGCGGGACACTATAAAACGCAGAAACCTCCTGTGGCTTGACCTTATTGCCATGTGGAAGTAAGTGTCTTTGAGGTTGAGAGTTGCGTACCAGTCTCCTAACTCTAAAACGGGGGTGACAGATGCCAGGGCTACCATTCTGAATTTTGATTTCACTACCGTTTTGTTGAGGTCCCTGAGGTCCAGAATGGGACGAACCCCATGCTTGGGCTTGGGGATGACGACATAGCGGGAATAAAACCCCTTGCCCTGTAAGCACAGGGGGCCCCTCTCTGCCACTCCTTTTTCGAGGAGCGCCAACGCCTCCAGCTGAAGAATCCCTTCGTGAGAGGTGTCCATGAAAAGGGACGAGGAGTATGGGTTGGAAGGGGGAGGGCCCAGGAAAGGGATAGTGTATCCACCCCTGACTATGCTGAGTACCCAGGCATCTGAGGTAATTTCTGCCCAGGCGGGGGCAAACCGCGATAACCTGGTCCCAAACGGGGCCAGGGGAAGTGACTGGTATGAGCAAAGAACCCATCAAAATGGGTGTTTGGACTGCTGAGAGGGGGCCTGTCCAACCCCATGGGGGTTGTCTCCTCTCGGGCGGTGATGACATGCCCTTGCTGAAGAAGGGGCTGCAGCTGCCCCCACAACCCTACTGGGAGCACAAGGATGGCGTCTCCAGTAATCCCCAAGGGGGACCTGGGACTGCGTTCTCCCCTGCAGTCTGTAGGGGAGCTGATGCAGCTGAGGGGCCGGTGTGTGGATCCCCAAAGAGCGGAGAGTTGACCTAGTGTCCTTCAGCGTATGGAGCCTAGAGTCGGTGCGCTCCGAGAACAAGGATTTCCCTTCGAAGGGTAGGTCCTGTATGGTATTCTGAATGTCGGTCGGTATTCCAGAAACCTGGAGCCAGGCGCTACGGCACATAACTACCCCTGACGCCATGGTGTGGGCTGCAGAGTCGACCGCATCCAGGGAGGCCTGCAGTGCCATGCGGGTGATGGTTCTGCCCTCAGTGGTTATAGCTACAAACTCCTGATGCGCCTCAGGGGAAAGTTTGTCCTTAAACTTATCCATTCCTTGCCATGTATTGTAGGCGTAGTAGCTAAGCATCGCCTGTTGATTCACGATGCGGAGTTGCACACCGGTGGCATACACCTTACGCCCCATAAGGTCGAGGCTCTTGGGCTCCCTAGCCTTCGGGGATGGCCCCGGCTGTGGGAGTCTTTCCTTCTGTGCTGCAGCTTGGACAATCAAAGACCCCGGGACAGGCTGAGAATACAAGTGCTCGTGTCCCGACTGCGGGACATAATAGCGCCTCTTGACTCCCTTTACGGTAGGAGCCAAGGAAGCTGGAGTCTGACACAGGGCGTTCGTGATCTTAGCCACTGTCCTATTAAGAAGTGGGAGGGAGCATCATCCGATAGGATGTCTACCATCAGGTCCGTCTCTTCTACCACAAGTTCCACAGGGACTCCAAAGTTGGAAGCTAGGCAGAGAAGCAACTCTTGATGCAACCTGGCATCCATCATTGGCATAGCTGGAGCCGGATCTGCTAAAGTTTTGTTAGGGGAAGACGACGAGGAAGACTCCCGCAGTAGCACCGGGTCCAGCGTCGGGCCTGGGTGGGGGGCCGACTCGGCAACTACCACAGGCGCCAGAAGTGGCTTCAGTACCGAGGCTGTAAGGTCCCTCGTTGCATCCACAGCACTACTCCCCTGAGACAAGGGAGAGGGTCGCGACAAAGATGCCAACAGAGCCGCTTGGTGTTCCAAAATACTGAATACTGGCACAGGCCCCTGCCATTGATGATATGCCCCGGCGTCCAGAACAGCCACAGAGGTTGAGGAGGCCAGGTTTGTTGTATGTGAGGCCGATCCCATCTGTGTCAAGAGTGGGATCTGTGCCCCGACGATGCCCTCGAGGATCCCGATCTTATTGAGTCCGCTTCGGATTCTGAGGAGTAATCGGATGCAGGCCATGGTGGGGCTGACGACGAGTACACTGGTATCGCCGGAGGCGCAAACCTGGCCATTGACTCCGGCTTGCTCACATGTGCGCAGCGAGGAGGTCATACCAGTGCTGGCACAGGAAAAACAGTATCCGTGCCCTGCTGTGGTGTTGGTACGCTGCACATCGTATGCGGTGCCGAACTTGGTGCCGGGTTGGAGGAAGGCAGAGTTCATTCGCCCAACTGATGGTGCCCCTACCGGTGCCGCCATGGGCGCTACCGTAGACAGCTAGATGATGCCGGTGCTGTCGACGTATCCCTAGAAGGCGCCAGTGTTGTCAACAGGGACAGTGCCAGCGTAGTCCACAGGGACAGTATCGGTGTCAGCACTGGAATACCTTGTATTGGTGCCGGAGTTAGCGGTGCCAACAGCGGTACCGACAGTGGTACCGGTACTAGAGCTGGCAGTGCCGTTGGTGGTGCCACATGGCTAGTCTGCACCGGTGTCGGCTGCGTCAACGCCAAGTACGGGGCCGGGTAGTATGGTCCCGATTATGTAGCTGAAATCAGCTCCAGCAGAGGATCCAGCACCGATACTGTGGTGGGGGGCAGTGTCCAGCCCGCGCCCGTTGGTACTGCCGGTGCCGGGTGAGGTCTGCAATCCTGTGTGGAGTCAGGCATTCCAGCGTGCCCTGATCTTGCCGCGAGCGGTACTGGTCCCACAGGGGACGGTCCCACCGCATATGTAGAGGGTGCTGACCAGTCTGCCCGATGCAGGGGAGAAACTGGTACCAACACGGCCCCCGGCGTAGATGACTTCGACCTCTCCGCTTCAACAGACGATGGAGGGGAGGTGGTCAGGCTGATTAAGTCCTGCGCCACCTCAAAAGTCTCTGGCATCAAGGGTCGATGTGTAGGCAGCTGACCCAGACTGGATGGTCAGACTGCCCGCTTCTGCCACACAGCATCGCTTTGAGAGCCGTCCGCAGGCGACCTGTGCTGGCGGTGTAGGCCCGACCTGGACTTCCAGGATGGAGACCTACCATGTGATATCTTCGCCTTTTTCGGTGCTGGGGAGTGGGAACGGTGCCTGGCCCTTGGTACTGATGCCTGGAAAGGTCGGGGCATCTTGCGTTGACACCGGCGCACTGTGCACCGTGGAGTGACCCGCCAGTGCCGGTTGAAAGGCCGCTTCCATTAGAAGGAGCTTCAAATGAGAGTCTCTCTCTCTCTTTGTGCATGGTTTGAATGACCTGCAGATCTTACAGGCTTCTGCTAAGTGGCCCTCACCCAAGCTCTTTAGACAGCTATCATGAGGGTCTCCTTTAGGCATGAACTTAGCACATACCGCACAAGCCTGCGGCCCTGGCATTCCTCACCCCCGAAGGGGATAAGGAGAACAAAGAACTTGCCAACTATCTAACTACTTGAACTATTTACAAAAAACAACTCTAACTAGAAATGGGAACCATTAACTACACAAGATAGACACGCTCCAACGACCGTCATGGGCGGTAAGAAGAAACTGAGGAGGGGCAGCACCGGCAGGGGTACTTATGCACCGCTATAGCGGCGCCAATTCAGGGGGCGACCTGCCGGCGCTACGGGTATCATTTGGGAAAACGCTCCGAATAGATAGTGCACGCGGCACACATACCTTATTCGAATAGACATGAGCAACCACTCGAAAAAGAAATAAAGAGTTTAAAATCACTAAGTCTCAGATATTTCAAGTTATTTAGGAGTTGCAGCACTCAGCATTGCAACATCTGATTTAGGAGCCTAAGTCTCACTCCAATGGGAATTAGGCTATCATGAGATGTAGGATCCTAAATCAATTAGGCACCTCAATGCTAAGCACCACAATGCCTAAATAGTTTTAAAAATCTAAGTACTGACTCTTAGCAAAGCAGAATTACCTTTCTTCACAAATGTTAGTCATAACTACTGCATCCATAGAATTAAAACTTCCAGTATAGATAAAGAGTATAGTGGGAGGTTGAGGAGGGGCGGGGGTTATGAAAATGTTTCTGATTGTTGTGTTGTAACATAAATTCCATACCTTTGATGTTCTCCTTTAAAATCAATGAGACAGAACACCTGTTGTGGATAATTATGCGAGGACTAGGGTCTTCCGTAAGAGTTAAGTATGTCACCCCAAGATGCTCTTGATAAGTCAGTGCTATGGCTCTACAACATAAAAAGATTATATATATAATTATATAATTCTTGGGATGCTCTTCAAATTTACTATTATGAACACCCTTTTCTGCAACATTTTTATTCTTAGGTCCAATTCTGCAGACACTTAGCACATTAAGTGTCAGTAGTCCTACTGATGACACATTTTAAAAGAAAATCAAGAGAAAAATAGTACATTAAAATAAACTGACTTTAATGGGACTACTTGTGTATAAAAATTAAGTACCTGCATGCTGCAGGGTCAGAGCCTTAAACTACAGTATTATAAAGGACTAAAAACAAATAAAATTTCAATGCCAAATTTTGAAAACTAACTTCTGAAACAGCTCAGGAAAATTTGCATGTACATGTAAATGTTATTTGAAAAAACAATAACACAGTACTCAACATTAATGACCCATAACAATAACATCATATTAAATTCTAGCATTTAAATTGCATCACTACTGTTGCAATTTAAAAAAAATCAATTAATTGTGCACCATCATTAGCTAATGAGAAATACTATTTCCTGATTTGCACACACAACTGATTGTTTGCATGTGCAATTTTAGTAGCCTCTTCTGAAAATCTGCTTCTTTAAAGTGATTTTTTTAAATTAAATAACATCTAAAAAATATGACTATTCCAGTTTTTGAAAGGGAGTGGCATGGATCCTTCCTACCCATCAGAACTCCACATTATTCTTCTGTATTCTTAGGAACACTATTTTTGCTAGCATCATTCCCTCTGAAGTCCACATGGATATCTCTGGAATCCACCAATATCAATTCTAAATTATCCAGAGGGATTGCTCTTGATATTGACTGATAAAATGAATTCCCACCTTATTCCATACAAACTGAGCATGTTGCCTCCAAAGCACCTCCCATTTCTGCTGGCCAGATGAAAGAAAGACTACATGGCTGATTCGGAGCTCACTGACACTGATCTAGCCTCATTGATTTTAGGTTTATTTTTCATTTACACCTGCATAAGTGAGAGCACAATCAGACCTAAGGTCTGGAAATTAAAGCCAGGTCTTCCTACTTGATAATGTACTTTTTTTTTTAACTTGCTGGATGCATTTCTTGTTTTGAAAGGGGAGCATGTATTTAGATATAGCAAGCCTTAAAGCATGGAAAGTTTTTCCACTCCATTCTCAAAATATTTTCTTCCCAATGTTTCTTTTCCTGTTCTTCTCACTTACTCTTCTCATTTAATGTTACTGTGCATTTTCACATAGCTTTCCAAAATACATCTCCAAATTGCTAGATTAAAATTTCATGGTTAAAATATTAAAATCACAAAATCTCTTAAAGAAAACATCTTCTCAAGTTCTCTATTAAGATTTCTAGAAATATTTGGAGAGAGAAAAAGTACAACAGATTCTACTTTCTTATTTTTCAGCATATCTCTCAAAGGGCTACTATGAAGTTAAAAATCATATACTGTATTAAAAAACAATTTTCTTCTCTGTGCCACTAATGACTTAGATTAATAACACCAAAATGATTTTTGAACAAACTCTATTTTCACCATTTACTTCATCTGCTTACTTTTTTCTTTTCATTCAACCTGGGCCCTAAACTCTCTATCAGTGAATTTCATTTCCTGGCTCTTAATGCTGCAGTATTTTGGTTGCAAACGCCACAAAAATTGTTTAAATTTAAACTAAAAATTGTTTTCACTGATTGAGGATAATCATCAAAGCATTTGTATAAAATTTGATTTTGTCAATGCTTAAAAACAAATCCTACAGTTTAGAAGTACATTACTTAACATTGTATATCCAACTCTTAATCTTGAAAAGACTTATTTTCATTCTCTCTTATTCTATACATGTAAAAGGAGGGGCCATGTAAATAGTAAAATAGTACAAGATGTACATGTTCATAACATTCAACCATTTATTAAACGTGTCCAAAACATCAAACAGTAATAGTTTTTTTAAATTAAAGTGAGGTCTGACTTGACATGTGGTGGACATGTGTTGTTATTTTAACTTTTCTATTAATCTCTTATGCTTTGTTTCTAGATAAAGCTTTATACTGACAGTCAAAGAAGAACATCATTCACATGTATTCAATTTACCTGGTACAAAATCCACTTTCATTACAAACACCAATGGGTACTGACACACTCTGTCTAGGAAATTCTTGTTTAATCACAGCTGGCAGGCTCCAGCACTGCAAACTGTCAGCACACACAATTGGACTGAAACTTAGCAATATGTGCTTTTTCAGGAGGGACACTTCTGATGTTGACTGACTGATGTCTGACATCAGGTCCCAACAAGGAACAGAGCTCAATTTTTCAGTAGGTGGTTCCCCAGCTGGGCAGATTCTGAATGCTGTACTATCTGGTATGTGTAAATACTAGAAAGAAAAAGAAGATAATGCAAATACATGTTAGGTCATAACAACAGTTCATTCATATTTAATTTTTACTGTGAACAGTTATAAGTGTCCAATTAGAAAACTGTAACCAGCGTGTATGTGTGTGTAAGGAGAGGGGATGCAAGAGGACACATGTGGCAAGAGGGAGGGTTGACTATCCTGTCCCAGATCTGTTGCCTTTCCATTGACTGGTAGTTGGTGACTGGATTAGTCAATCATCTTGTGAGCCCTTCTTCCAAGATACCCCTGCATATTTAAATGCTCACAAGCAGGTGATGTGGCGATGATACCCAGAGACATCTAATTCTCTCTCCCTAAGCATTTAGCTCATCTGTCAGATGTGAGGGATGACATGGCCACTATGGATAAAGGTCAAAAGAGCCACCTCCTAGACCTGAGTTTTTGCTGATGGATTTTGTTTCCTATAGAAGGGGACATCTGAAGTCCTTGTGGAGTGAATTCCCCCTTTGGCAACCTCTGTCCACACCTTCATGGGGGAGGGAGCAGAGAGGATTCAGAAGTGGAGTCCTAGGGTAGGATTAGGTTGATCTATCCTGACTAATTGGATATATTGGTTGTAACCCTGCACTAGAACCCAATAAATGTTTGGTATGTGAGAGCAGGGGATGGGCATACAGTATCCCTCCACAATGTTAGATTAATTAAAGTTGCAGTCCACCCCTTAAATTGATTTCATGTGTCTGTTGTTCATTTACCTGCATGCCCCGATCAATACATAAGTGACCGATTAAAAATACAGTTGTGCCTGCATGCATTCTGCTTACTGTAAGCTTACTTCCTGAACATACAATGCTGTCACCAGAAAACTTAATGAATTGATGTACCCCCTGAAATACATACATTTGGGGAATATCTACAGATCTACGGATTATGATTAGGTTCTGGAGTCTTCCCAAAAGGGTATCTCATATATTTCATCCTGCAAAGCAGATGTCCCTTTTCTACATGAGAACTTAGTACAAATTCTCAGAAGTGATTCAACAGCTATTATGGATTAAACTGCCTCTATTATAGCAATGGCCCTCATTCTCTGAACAGATGGAAACCAGGCAGAACTAATCCTGCAATGTGTAGGGATCTGCCACTTTGCACAAATTTCTATCACAGTTAATTACCGTGGCTGAATTTGCCATAGCTTCCTCATTTTAAATTAAAACAATATGAAATTACTTATCTTGAACTCTTAATGTTTTACTTTTTTCTGTTCAATTTTTGCAAGACAATTTTGAGACTTTAATTAAATATCACTGCCTACATACTGTAGAAACCAAACAAAAATAACATCCAAAATATTCTACCTCCTCTCCAGACCGAGGCCTTAAAACAGACAGCTGTGGTATACAATAGATATGGTATGATGTATTGTTGATTACAGTTGTCTTATCTTCAATCTGTAGAATTTGAATGCCATGCTGAACCATAGATGAAATGCAGAACTGGCACAACTGCAGGATAATTTAAAAAAATGTTAGCAGACATAAAAACAACAAAGTTTTGTAATACAGTAGAAAAATATTTTAGGTTGGAGACCCTGTTCTGATGCATCTACATTATAGCCTCATCTACCTTATAACCTAATCTGCATCAAATTTCTACGCAAAATTCCTTAGTTGCATCAGTCCATATTTTTCAAACAAGACTTAGAATTCACAGTTTTTTATTTGATCCATTATTTGTCTTTGCATTGTGCTTTTGAATCTATTCATATATTTTGAGCTAAGTTTGTGCATTGTTATATATTTGACAGCTTTCATCTGCTGTTTGATTATTCCCTGTTTGAAATAGTAAAGTTATAAATCATCACAAGGTCTTCCTAACCTTTTTATGACCTGGGAAGGCACCAAGTTTTATTTCAGCTTCAACAAACCCTTCTTCATCCAGTGTTACCATTTCCCCGTTGTCTGCATCCTTCCATTTTGGAGATGTTACATTATGAACTAGTTTGATCGCCACTGATTTGTGCACAGTGTTAGTGTTTGCCCAGTATATTCCAATTTGAAAAGCTTCCTGTAAATGGAAAATACCCATATGTAGAACTTTCTGTTAACTTTTACACTCATATTACAGTTAACGGTAATTTTTAAATATGCATATACCTATAAACAACTTTCTTTACTTATTTTCTAGAAATCTAGATCCCCCCCCTTTAATTCTCTCTATACAATACACATTTTATAAGAGACATGTTGATGCTACTGTATAAGTATCTCAAAAATCACTGGCAAATTTAATGGCAAATGCAAGGTAATTCAACGAAAACAATTTAGCCAGAAAGAAGTTATACACCACAAAGTTGTATAACTTCCACTGATGAGGTACTGAGTAGACAAGCAAATTAAGTTTAATTCTGCCTAAAGTCCCCTAATAAGTTGTGAGTTACAATAAGAGAAGTTATGGGTGTTCAAAAAGAGGGCACATCAAAGGAAAAATCTAACTAAATCTGTTTTGTGAACTAAAAGTTGGAGAGTGCATACTTAAGCAGTTGTCCCTTCTCTCCCATTTGATATTCACATTTATCACAACAGATATCAAAATATTCTTGGAAGCACATAAACTACATATAAAGCCCATGTCTCAAAAAAATTACTCTCCAGACAAACGTTCTTTCCACTCCATCATCTCTCACACCTAAGCCAATTTATACCCATAAGGGACAAAGTAGCCTTTGTACTCGGCTTAGTGCAATTAGCATAATAGCTGTGCAACTGATTACTGGAACAGTGGAAAGACAGAAATGTAATTTTCCACTGTGGTCAACTCCCATTGCTGGTCACCTGGAGGCAGAGCCAGATTTTCCCAAGTATTGCTGACACATAATTAGAATAAAGTAGGCATTACAAATGCCCAGAGGGAAACCGTGAAGAATGCAACCTGTTTGTGCATAAATCAAGAGAATAGCTCACCTGGTATGCTAGGTCTGCTCTATGCTGTCTGTCAAAGTAGATATTTTCATAGGCATCTGTAAGCCATATTGTGCAGCAACTCTAACTTGTCAATCACTGTATTGCACCATATCCTGCCAAGATGCCTTGCTCTACATCTGCTTATTTTAGCCAATCAGCATGGCATAGTCTAATTCATACTTATACCCTGACCATAACTATCTTTCTGGTACACATATGGACTAGAAACATAGCCTTGAAATAAAGGTTTAACTATTTAGAAAACTGGTGCATGTTAACTTGAACAGTTTGGCTACCTGGAAATTTGGAGGTATAATTGTTTTCCCAGCAGGTATCTGAAGAACTATCTTCTCTCCTTCAAATAGCCATAGATCCCATTTAGACTGATTGATAAGCAGTGCCCAGGGCAGAAGTTCTATCAGTAGGGTTTTAATACACGGCTTCCACACTGAAAGCTTCACCCGCATTGGGCTATCCCACTGCGTGAGCTGTTCGTTACTGTTTCAAATAACATCAAAAGAAAGAGAAGACAAAATTACTGAGTCACTGTTAAATCTGCATATAACCATCCTAGCTATTCAGAAAACTATTTTACTATATCTCATCCTGATATATCATTCTGAAATGAACAGATGTACTATCCGGAAAAAGCTTTCCCTAAGTGTAGATTGTAAAAGCAGGTATTATTAAAAGGACAGTCCATTTGAAATCTGATCATTTTAAAAAAAAGCATTAAAGATAGTTTTATGACTACCCCTGCTCTGACTACTACTACTCTCTGTCAATTTTAGTATTTATAAGGTTATGTTTGCATTAACAACAGTCTCTTCTGGTGGTCACTTTAGAATTGTTGGAACCACAAAAATGGTTGAGACTCCTCAAATTGGGACGGGGGTAAACAAGGCTGGTGTGGTCCCTACAATGTAGTTTTGAGCAATCTCTGTGCTGATCTAAATTCTCTGGCTGCAAAGGACTCCGTTGTCAGTTTAATGATTCAATATAGATACCATACATGGTATTCAAATGTAGGTAAACAAGTATCTGAATATTTCATCTGACTTAAACAAGATATAGTCATTACAACTTGGTTTTACAGACTTGGTTAAGCATACACAAAAAAGGAAACGGATCCTTTCTCTAGTAAATAAAGTATTGTAAAGATAGCTACTTCTAGTTTTTTTACTTATTTCCAGATGAGTAGCTTAACAGTAAAGAGTCAAAGCTGGATAAACTCAGCTAATTGTAACAGATGTCAGAACAGATTGAAAGTGAATTTTTAGGATAACTACATTACCACTGAAAAATCCTACTTAT